CGCTATCTGCCCGGCCCTTGTCCGCTGTCCCCACCACCTTCTACAAACGGATATGCGCCAGAACTGTTGCTTCCATAGCTTCAAGGCCGTCTGCGGGAAAAGACGAGCTATGAGACGCGTGCGTTAGGTCTAGTACTCGGCTGCCATAGTCCGATCTGGGGTTCACCGAGCGGCTTTCTTGCCTCGCCAATCAACTGGAACAATAATATCCACTTCAGCCTTTTTTTCTTACAAGAAATTGTCGATGCTCATATAGCTAGCACGGGACGGTACGGCAAGCAGCATCTGGCTTACCGGCTTTCGCCGGACTGGCAGCATCTAATCTCGATTTGACAATGTGTCAAAGATTCGTCCTTGGGTACCCAAGGCACTCACACGCCCAACCTGACACTTCTCACTTGCTTATCCACTTTTCTTAGCCAAAATTAGTGTACGGGGGCATCAAGGATCACTGCCACCAAATGCCATGGTCGGGGGACAGCTCGCTCCGAGATCTTTTCGCAAGCAAGGTGGAGTACACCAAAACAATTTGGTTAGAGCAACGTTGAATGGATATCTTCTTTCATCCTGCTTTTCAGACAAGCCCAAGATCCTTGGGCCTCTCGAGGATTAAGGACTTCGGAGCGAGCTGTTGAGCTGCGACCAGTATGGAGGGTGCGATGGGCCTACCACGCTGGATATAGATGCTACGTACTAACTAGAAATTACTGACTAGACTAGACTAGCACTATTGACTCTCGGATAGTGGAGCCATCGTAAGGTTCGATCATTTCGTGTTGAGCATTTCACTCTCCACCATAGTGGGCAGACGGTGGTATCGGCAACGTTGCCCTTCGCAATGGTCCCGACTGGCTAATCAGCAATTGCAAAAAAGCGAGAAGGGTTGCCCATGGCTCGATTGTCCGATTTATGGAAATATTTCAAGAGTCATCCATTATGTCTACACTCTATACACTCTACATGTAACAACCTACACATACATCAGCCTGCTATTGGACTGAATCTCGGCCTTCTTCCTTTGTCTCTGTCTCATCCGAGTGCCGACATGTTGGTAGAAAAATGCAAGTCATTACACCACTTCCCTGTTTATTATGATGGGACTAAAGTACCTTTTACTATCTCTAGGATAGCGCGGTGATCTTGGGGTAGCAGACCAACGCTAAGCTGACCGTAGCCGAACTAGGGCGTTTCGTCTATGCTGTACAGTAAGTACTCGGTAAGGTGCCTTGAGAACGTAAAAGTGGAACTGGATTAGATAATTTGAGATCTGCCGGTTTTATCACAACCCATGATTGGCATTCGTGGAAGAGCTTCAGATCATGCCTATAGAGGAAGCGGTAAAGGTAAATGAAGGCGGTCATAAAAAGTTGCCACTGGCCCACATTTACGTTCTAAAGGCACCCGGGCATAGTAGTAAGTTAAGTTACTGTACATCCTGTACATACCCCTAGGCTTCTAAGTCTCAACTCCCGCTTCCTAAAATTAGGCTGATTAAGGTGGTCTTCTTTCTTTATATTTGTATTTTTTCTTTTCATAATGCGCAAGTGCCCCATTGGTACTTTTGCATTAAACGTCTTGTTACCGCACAACGTACTGATACTTAAATATGATTCAGCTACGAGGGGCCCAGACTTGTTCGAATCGGGAGCGAAGGTATATTCTTGAAGCCGACAGGCTGGGAAATAAAGTACGTCCTGTAGCTGAAGGTCGTCTTGACCATTCCCCGCTCTCAATCGATCTCGGTAGTTCTTTCCCTCCAGCCACAGGGCGTTGAGTACACCGAAGGCAATTCATGCCCCCCAAAGATTTGACACGAACGATGTGAATGCATCCAACCGCGAACCCATCGCTCGCGGATGCACGTCTTAGTCTAAAGGTAAAAAGTTAAGATCAAGAAGACAAGACAGCAGTGGCGAAAGAATTCGGATCACGGGCCCTTTGCCGATCTACCCACTCTTTCTTGATTCTTTTCATTCAGCAAGATTACCTTTCCTGTTATCTGTGAGTTGATGAAATGTGGAGTCCTATATCACAACTCTGATCTCATAAGATTGCCGATTCACTGGTGGTGTGATACAGATCCGGACGACATCTCAGTCTCTCTTGAGCAGAGCAATCTGGGCAGCTCTCAACATTCGTCATGCTGCTTCAGCTTGATTCATCCTGTGTCATCAGGTCACCTGTCGCCGCTCACTATTACAGCTCTTCTACTGGATGAAATTGGACAGTGGCATCGTACTTGTGGGAAGATAAGCATGTACTGGTACTTTAGTACACACTGGCGGCAGCCGGCAAATGGGGTCAGCACAGCACACTACTAACCGTACATCAATGTACCCCGTGCTAGCTTGGAATGGTTGGTTGCCTTCTTCTTCTTCTTCTTCTTCTTCTTCTTCGCTTTGGATATTTCTCGGTCCAATCTCCGACATGCTGGAGATGTAATGAGCAGTAAGTTCAGTAGTGTCCGCTCCCCTCTTCTTGCTACACTAGGGTAAGATTCCTTGCTCATTGCCCACCACTAATTTCATGCCCCACCTCCCCCCCCCCCTGTTTCCTTTGTCTCTGACCAAAGGAAGCTAGCAATAACACAAAGCATCTAGTCGAAGTCACATCGGTGGCGTATGTCCAGTTGGTTGGCGGTCAATCGACAATTATTAGCCAGGACAGAATGTCACTAAGTACTAAGTACAGTATTCATTCTATCCTCAACATGCTGAAAGTCCGTCCAGCACTAGTCGCAGCACGCTATTGTATCCGACCAATGACCGCTGCATCTTGAAATTGGCTTGCCGATGCACACCGACTATCATACAACGATTGCGTCTTCTTTGATGGACTCAGAGGGACGAAAAAGAAAATTGAACCAGGCAACATCAGGTTTGACGGAGGATGGACGCCGTCAAGTGGCGGTGGGAGATTGGCTTGTTGCCCAGGTGCTTATCTCCTTCCTTCTTAGATATCGCTCTGAAGATCTGAGACTGCATCTCCATCAGCTCTTTCACCGCTGCATAGGAAGGTTGCAGAAAAATACAGCACCGGAAGTGGGCGAAAGGTGAGGGAAAGGCATGGATGGAGAGCGATGTCCCCCAGTGTCATCCAGGATTTTGATTACGGTTATCCAACAGACGAGAGTGTTAACAATTACAAAGACGAGGAAGATAACTACTGACTTCTCAGAATGGCGGTATTGCCAATCATAGTCCCTGCTGTGCTAGACAGGGGCTACCTATTTCTTTACCTTCGTTTCCGCCGCTTGACGCGCCCATATTTTCGGGCTTATGCAGCCTCGAAATAGAGGAGTGTTCTAGGTCCCTCTCTAGAACCAAGATCACTGACAGTGCCTAGGAGGAGCGCTTGCCCAGGCTGCAGGCTAGCTGGCAGCTTCCATCTCCCCCGGACACTGAATTGGCCAGCGGCTGTAGGCGAGTCCATGATGCAAAGGAACAGCACCACAGGAACTGAGACGGAACCCTCGCCTGTCAGTTGCCTGTCAGCTGCAGAACATCCTGCTCTAGTGCGCCGATATGTACAAGGGGGCCGATCCAATGGACAGAAAAGGTATCGCTGGTTTTGATGGGAGGGTGCTATGGCTAGGAATTAATTGCGTCAAATAGAGGAACTTTGAGCATTGAATGCTGACGACGAACAAAGAATCGACACTCGACTTTTAGTTTATGCCCGGTAGATGTGACAATGGGACATGATCAAAGGGATTTCCTACAATCCCATTCTTCCCAATCATTGAATCAAGTTTGCCTAGCCTGTTGCTGTGTTTGCCAAGTGGGTGCCAGTATGCGGGCAGCGTCAGGGTCAGCCCTCCATAAAAGAATGCGCAAAAAAGAGAACTAACGTGTCAGGAAAAGCAAAGAATTTTTTTTTTTTTTTAAAAAAAAACCAATGACAAAAGGAACTCCATGTATCACAAAGCAAGCCATCTACTCATATCATGGTCAACCAAAGACCTGGGGAAATAGCCGTGGGACCAATCCATGCTTCCTACTTGGCTGTGATCGGCCATTGAATATACCTCATATACCTACTACCTACCTACCCCTACAGCGGTGATCTGAAAGACTCCGCGGAGGTAGGAAGAAGATCGTGGGAGGTATGGTCATAGACGCGCCGCGCACCTCCTACCAATGCTTGCTAGCAGGGCTCTGGAGGTACCAGCCTTGTTGTATGCTTGCTAGGTATGGCTTGTTATGTTTCTTTTTCTGCTGCTTCCGAAACAGTCATCCCTGACACTTAACGGAACCGTTCAGTACCTTGGGTTTCTGCTCTTGCCTAGCCCTTCGGCCCTTGTTTTTGGCGTGTTTCTCTCACCATGTAGGAAAACAGGCCCTTGGCCCTCCTTCGCTGGATAGTGACGCAAAGGCTCGCCTATTGCGGCAAGTGTCTATAGAAGCCTGAGCCTGAGCCCGAGCCTGCGGTTATGGGGGAAGCCACAAGTATGGCATGAACTTCCAAGGCACGTTGGACTGCTGCATTTAGGCGGCTTTGCGACAGTTGAACCTTTTTCCATTACAGGAGATCACTCCAACGAGAACGGTAAATCCTGTCGACGTGAAGACAAGGGCCTAGATCTTGAACTAGCCTTTGAAGCTTGTCGTCGAGAATGAGGTGAAATACAAGCTAGATGCGTACGTACTTCACGTCAAGACGTGCTTCTTACTCGCAGGGTGCAGGGTGAGTATTAGATTGCCACGAGGCCCAAATGTCACGGAGACATGTGCTTTCGGGTGTCAAGCCCGGCTACACCGGCAGGGCCGCAGGAAGGAATCCTTTTCTACAGTGTCGACACGTGAAGGGAAATCAACTCGTGAGTTCTTGGAAATCAGCATGGACGCGTGGAAAATTTTCAATTCATGAATATAATTCATTGATTCACGGGCCTTTATTCTGCCGCGCTAGCCGTCCGTTCCCAGCTAATTTTAAAAATTTTCCATGTTCCGCTCCTTGATTAAAGACAACAACACAAAAGAAAACCGTCAGGGACGCATTTAGCGCTTGCCGGCAGCCTTCTCCTGGGACTCCTTGAGGACCTTCTTGACGATCTTCTGCTCCTCAATCAGGAAAGCGCGGACGATGCGGTCCTTGACGCAGCCAGCGCAGCGGGAACCACCGTAGGCACGGCTGACGTTCTTCTTGGGGCGGGAGATCTGAGCGTACTCGCGGGGGCGGAGGGCGGGGACCTAGAAGTGGTGACGGAGCCACGATCAGCCAACTGCGCTTTGCTGGATTTCCTTGCATTGTCTGCCTTTCTCCCTTCCCGTCTCTTTTCTTTTCGAATTGGCGTTGAGGAAAGAGATTTTTCTTCTGTCGAAGTCTGCGAATCTTCTTCCCGGTCGATCGAGCGCACCCGCGCACCACAGATTGTCGGAAATATCGTGATTGTCGTTTTTGCCTTCCACCTCCCGCAACTTCCGCTCGAACAGGAATCACTGGGGATTACTCACACCAGGGAGCTTGATGCCACAGTCACCGCACTTGGGAGCGGTACCCTTCTTCTTGATGTGAAGGTAACGGAGCTCACCGCCAGGGGTCTTGATGATCCGAACCTGGTTGGACCGCGTGTTGTACCTGTAGACGAGGAAAAAAAAATCCATCAATATTCTTGTCCATCATGAAAATCGCATGGAAGTCGAAAATCCCCGCTCTTCAGCAAATTGTCTCTCATCGCAGAACAAAATCGAGCACACTTGTGATTTGCACCGTAGCGATCGAAAACAAGAAGGCTGGTGGGAGCCAAAAGGGATGAGGAAACACTGTGAGGGCTGGGAAAAGAAATTTCAAACGTACGGGTTCCGGCGGCGCTGCAAAACAGATCAAAAATTAGTATCCTGCTTCAATTTACCCTTCCGGATAACGATTTGACTCACGTATTGCAATCTGTTGTTCGCCATTTTGTCTGTCCGTACCTCGAGGCTGGGGTGGTCAAGAAGTTGGCGGCGGCGTCGTCGGGTTGTCGTCGTTAACCTCGTAGAATTCTCGCAGGTAATCTGGATTTGTGTGGGTTTCGCTCGGAGCCCTGGGCGGCCACGCTAGCGCAGATTTGGCGAGACTGCGCTAACCCAAACCCGGACTAGTGCCGGCCCGAGCAGAGCCGCCACCTCTTTTCAGACTTGCTTCATCTAAGGCCAGGTGCCAGAAGTGAGGAGCTTTGCTATCACCCGTGGCGAGAAGGGGATCGTCTAGGCGCGGTTCTATCTTATTTTCCGGGGTTGACTACCCATTATCATCATTGCCTTTTTTTTTCTCTTAACGCGTTTGATACTCACGCAATCACGACTTACATTCATCATTTGAACCGATGAACACGCGATAATCCCAGGACCTTTTCCACCTCTCGACGTGATCATTGACGCGACTCGTGTACGAGCATCAATCAACGTCGGATTAGGAAAGAGAGGGGACATACCTTCAACCATATCCCCCCCCTATTCATCATGGCGTCTCTGCCTCCTCCCCCGCCTCCCGGCTGGGGTGCGTCGGCGCCGCCCTCGATGCCTCTGGCTCCGCCACCGCCAGGATATCAACCGCCGGCCGATCCGACTGTCGCAAAGTTCGCCCAGAAGAAGAACGAATGGCTGCGGACGCAACGGAACCGCTTTGGCGAGAAACGGAAGGGCGGATTCGTCGAAACCCAGAAGGCCGATATGCCCCCGGAGCATCTGCGGAAGATCGTGAGAGACATCGGCGACGTATCGCAAAAGAAGTTCAGCAACGAGAAGCGTAGCTATCTGGGTGCGCTCAAGTTCATGCCCCATGCCGTCTTGAAGCTGCTGGAGAACATGCCCATGCCCTGGGAGTCTGCCAGGGAGGTCAAGGTGCTGTATCACGTCAATGGCTGCCTGACCCTGGTGAACGAGACCCCCCGCGTCATCGAGCCTGTGTTCCACGCCCAATGGGCGACCATGTGGGTGTGTATGCGGAGGGAGAAGAGTGACCGGAGACACTTCAAGAGAATGCGCTTCCCTCCATTCGATGACGAGGAACCCCCCTTGTCGTGGTCGGAGAACATCGAAGATGTGGAACCGTTGGAACCCATCCAGATGGAACTGGATGAGTCCGAAGATGCAGCTGTCTATGAGTGGTTCTATGACCACCGGCCTCTGCTGGATACGCCTCATGTCAATGGACCGAGCTATAAGAGCTGGAACTTAACTCTTCCACAGATGGCCACCCTTTACCGACTCAGTCATCAGCTCTTGAGTGACGTCGTCGACCAGAATTACTTCCACATGTTCGACTTGAACAGTTTCTTCACCGCCAAGGCGCTGAACGTCGCTATCCCCGGTGGCCCTCGCTTCGAACCACTTTACAAAGATATCGATCCCAACGATGAAGACTTCAGCGAATTCAACGCCATTGACCGAATCATCTTCCGCGCGCCCATCCGAACGGAATACCGCGTCGCATACCCCTACCTGTACAACACCCTGCCAAGAAGTGTTAAGCTCTCTTGGTACTCTCATCCACAGATCGTCTACGTCCGGACCGAAGACCCCAACCTCCCTGCTTTCTACTTCGACCCCGTAATCAACCCCATTTCATCCCGGTCCGTCGCCCCCAAGAACATCACCGTCAGCCACGAAGATGAGATTTTCGGAGACGGCGATGAGGACGACTTCGAACTCCCTGGCGATTTCGAGCCTTTCTTCGGCGATGATGAACTATACACTCCAGACACGGCCTCCGCTATTGCCCTGTGGTGGGCTCCTCACCCCTTCAACAAGCGCTCTGGCAAGATGGTGCGCGCACAAGACGTTCCTTTGGTGAAACAGTGGTATCTGGAACACTGCCCACAGGGCCAACCCGTCAAAGTCCGCGTGTCTTACCAGAAGCTTCTCAAAACCTATGTGCTCAATGAGCTGCACAAGAAGAGGCCCAAGGCCCAAAACAAGCAGGATCTGCTCAAAACCTTGAAGTCTACGAAGTTTTTCCAGCAGACTACCATCGACTGGGTTGAGGCTGGTCTGCAGGTTTGTCGCCAGGGTTTCAACATGCTCAACCTCTTGATTCACCGCAAAAACCTGACCTACCTTCACCTCGACTATAACTTCAACCTCAAGCCTGTCAAGACCCTGACGACCAAGGAGCGAAAGAAGTCACGTTTCGGAAACGCTTTCCACCTGATGAGAGAAATCCTCCGCCTCACCAAACTGATTGTCGATGCGCAAGTACAATACCGCCTGGGCAACATCGATGCCTTCCAGTTGGCTGATGGTATCCTTTACGCCTTCAACCACGTCGGACAGCTGACTGGTATGTACCGTTACAAGTACAAGCTGATGCACCAGATCCGTTCCTGCAAAGACTTGAAACACCTTATCTATTATCGGTTCAACTCCGGACCCGTGGGTAAGGGTCCTGGATGTGGTTTCTGGGCTCCGGCGTGGCGTGTTTGGCTCTTCTTCATGCGTGGTATCATTCCTTTGCTTGAGAGATGGCTCGGAAACTTGCTGTCTCGTCAATTCGAGGGTCGCCACAGTAAGGGTGTTGCCAAGACAGTCACCAAGCAGCGTGTGGAATCTCACTTCGACCTTGAGCTTCGTGCTTCCGTCATGGCTGACCTTATGGACATGATGCCGGAAGGCATTAAGCAAAACAAGGTCAACACGGTCCTGCAGCATCTCTCGGAAGCATGGCGATGCTGGAAGAGTAACATCCCTTGGAAGGTCCCCGGTCTCCCAGCTCCTATCGAGAATATCATTCTGCGGTACGTTAAGAGCAAGGCTGATTGGTGGATTTCTGTCGCTCATTATAACCGTGAACGTATCCGTCGGGGTGCTACGGTCGACAAGACGGTTGCAAAGAAGAACCTTGGACGACTTACACGTTTGTGGCTCAAGGCAGAGCAGGAGCGACAGCACAATTACCTCAAGGATGGTCCTTACGTGTCATCCGAAGAGGCTGTGGCCATTTACACGACCATGGTGCACTGGCTCGAGTCCCGCAAGTTTTCGCCGATCCCGTTCCCTAGTGTCTCTTACAAGCACGACACCAAGATCTTGATTCTTGCTCTTGAGCGTCTGCGTGAGGCCTACTCTGTCAAGGGCCGACTTAACCAGAGTCAGCGTGAGGAACTCGCTCTCATTGAGCAGGCTTACGACTCTCCCGGAACGACCTTGGCCCGTATCAAGCGCTTCCTCCTGACCCAGAGAGCGTTCAAGGAAGTTGGTATTGATATGAACGACAACTACAGCCACATCAACCCCGTGTATGATGTTGAACCTATTGAGAAGATCACCGACGCCTACCTTGACCAGTATCTATGGTACCAAGCGGAGCAGCGCCATCTCTTCCCTGCTTGGATCAAGCCTTCGGACTCGGAAGTTCCTCCGCTGCTTACATACAAGTGGGCGCAAGGAATCAACAACTTGTCCAATGTTTGGGAGACCGAGGACGGTGAGACGAACGTCATGATCGAGACTGAGCTTTCTAAGGTCTATGAGAAGATGGATCTTACTCTGTTGAACAGAATGCTGCGTTTGATCATGGACCACAACTTGGCCGACTACATTACCTCCAAGAACAACGTCCAGCTTAGTTACAAGGACATGAATCACACCAACAGCTACGGACTGATTCGGGGTCTACAGTTCTCTGGCTTCGTGTTCCAGTACTATGGTTTGATGATTGATTTGCTGCTCCTTGGCCTGCAGAGAGGTAGTGAAATGGCTGGCCCTCCTCAGAGCCCTAACGACTTCCTGCAATTCAGAGACCGTGCAACTGAAACCAGACACCCCATCCGTCTTTATACTCGCTATGTGGACAAGATTTGGGTCTTCCTTAGATTCTCTGCGGACGAGTCTAGAGATCTGATTCAACGTTTCTTGACTGAGAATCCAGATCCCAACTTCGAGAACGTAATCGGTTACAAGAACAAGAAGTGCTGGCCACGCGACTGCCGGATGCGTTTGATGCGACACGATGTCAACCTGGGTCGTGCCGTTTTCTGGGATCTGAAGAACCGCCTGCCCCGGTCGATCACCACCATCGAATGGGATGATACTTTCGCCAGTGTATACAGCAAGGACAACCCTAACCTCTTGTTCTCCATGAGCGGGTTCGAGGTTCGCATCCTCCCGAAGTGCCGCAACCAGAACGAGGAGTTTTCGGTGAAGGATAGCGTGTGGTCCCTGGTCGACAACTCGACTAAGGAGCGCACTGCGCATGCTTTCCTGCAGGTGACGGAGGAGGACATCCAGAAGTTCAACAACCGCATTCGGCAGATTCTGATGTCGTCTGGATCAACGACCTTCACCAAGATCGCCAACAAGTGGAACACCGCCTTGATCGCCCTCTTCACCTACTACCGTGAAGCTGCGGTGTCCACTGTCAACCTTTTGGATACGATCGTGAAGTGTGAAACCAAGATTCAGACTCGTGTCAAGATCGGATTGAACTCCAAGATGCCTTCGCGTTTCCCTCCCGCCGTGTTCTATACCCCGAAGGAACTTGGAGGTCTGGGTATGATTTCGGGCTCGCACATCCTCATCCCCGCCAGTGACAAGCGTTGGTCCAAGCAGACGGACACCGGCATCACCCACTTCCGCGCGGGTATGTCTCACGACGAGGAGACGCTGATCCCCAACATCTTCCGGTACATCATCCCTTGGGAGGCCGAGTTCATCGACTCCCAGCGGGTGTGGATGGAATACTCTCAAAAGCGCCAGGAGGCGCAGCAGCAGAACCGCCGCTTGACGTTGGAGGACTTGGAGGACAGCTGGGACCGCGGTCTGCCCCGTATCAACACCCTGTTCCAGAAGGACCGCAGCACCCTCAGTTTCGACAAGGGCTTCCGTCTCCGTGCGGAGTTCAAGCAGTACCAGTTGATGAAGAGCAATCCGTTCTGGTGGACCAGCCAGCGTCACGATGGTAAACTGTGGAACCTCAACGCCTACCGTACCGACGTCATCCAAGCGCTGGGTGGTGTCGAGACGATTTTGGAGCACACGCTCTTTAAGGCTACGG